TAATACTAGTCTTTTATTATGCATGGTACATGATACAGATCAAATCTACTTCAAACTTACTTACAGACTTACTTCAATATGTTGTACGACACAGTTTTGATATTGAACAATTTCACCAAAAGGTGTCGCTATGTAAGCCTTTCTTTAATATTTGCCTATCTAAATATTGTTTGGAAAGGAATCTTCAGTTTATACTAAAACACACAAAACATTTAAGGCACACATTTTATAGATTTAATGATAATTTTGACGAAATTTTAACAATGAGTGGTAATAAACAACCAAAATCTTCTTTCCGATAATTTAGATATATTTAGAAATATTATCAATTGATATTGGAAAATTCTAATTAACCAAAAAAGGAATGAAAAAATCAAATGAATATTATATAACTGTCGACAATTTTGGCGGCCATCTTGGATGGTCACCAAGAATAAGTGCGATTCTTTCTGGCAATGCGGATCAAAATTTTTAGACAGTCCATATTAGTCTATGTGCCGAAAATCTAAGAATATTTACGATCGTGAACTATTGGACCCATTGTTGACTAGGCTAATATTGTAGTGATGTTATTAGAAGATCGAGGACGATCTTATCTTTCAATGGTGGGGTTAGTGTAGCGGATTGAGGTCCTAGTATGTTCATTTTTTTCATTTGAATCTATTCAGTCTGTAACTTATAATACTTACATCCATCCCCTTCATAACCACCATCACATGAACACGTATATGACCCATCGGTATCTGTACAGATCGATCCTTCATCATCACATAAATCGGCCCCAATTAAGCATTCATCGATATTAGTACAATTAACTGAAATAAAAAGATAATTTTTGTAAAACTAAGTTCATTGTAACCCTAAAATATGTAGTATCTTTATTGCTTGTCTGGATAAAAATTAATTTAACGGAATTATTTAATGGTTGCCGTCGAAACCACAGATCAAGGATCCGGGTAAATAAAAAAGCTTCAATTTTTTTAATATTAAGATTATTCAATCTCCGGCTAGGCTAAAAATTCTTGTTCACCATAGATGCTATCTAAAAATTTACACTAACATATTTTTTTTATTTGAGGAGGTCGTCTAAAAGCTCTAACTATATTGCCAAAGGAGCACGTAGGTTATCGCAAACAATTTCACAAGGTTATGTCTTGGATTATGACTATTTTCTGACAATGTTTATCTTTGAGATCAATTCATCATCTCAAAGAAAATTATATACAGTAATAATAAATTCAAACAAACTCGGAGATATTTAACTAGTAATCAACCCATCAACACACCTTTTCAAAGATGTTGACCCCATTTTCACCAAATTGCAATCATTTTTACAATGTTTAATGCATTACTATTCTTAATTCTGATGTATCAAATAGTTCTCGAAAGAAAAACTTAATTGCTTTAAGATAAGAGTTCCCAATGTTATTTTTCGTTAAAAAATCTCATGCTATCCATTGGTTTCAGTTCATTTTGGTCATCCAAATTCAGTATCTTTAAAATCCCTGGAGCATTCAACTTTTCCTTTTAAGAAATCGAACATGTCTCAAAGAACATTCTAATTATGAATTCAACAATATAATAATAATAGGTTGCATTTTTGGTGAAAATTAGGTCAACATTTTTGAAAAAGTATATTGATTGGTCCATTGACCCGTCAATATCACTTAGGTCTGATTAACTAAATTATCATTATATATACTTTTCTTGAAGATAATGAATGAATCTAAAAGATACACCCATGTTCATGATTAGGAAATATTCATAATTCAAGTTAGAATCGTTTGAAATTGTTTGCGATAATCTACGTTCTCCTTTAGATTGCATTAAAACCATGTCTTTATGGGTGTACTACTCTCCCCATCATTCAATTTGGAACCAGATATAGTGAATCATCGTCACAGAATGGGTAAAGATGATTCGGGGATTGTAATTTCAGAACATCTATTAACACCATGAGTGCACGATGCATCAAATACAAATTGAATAATATTTTAGATCTTTAAAGTCCCCGTCTAAAGTTTGAAAATATTTTTTTATCATTCATTTACTATTTGTCAGGACTTAAAAAGTGATTTTAGAGATTTTTGAACAAAAAAAAATTTTTGAAAAAAAAGTTGTGAGCATTTCATTTCTCAAATATTCAAATTTCCCGCCATTTTTCAAAAAAAGTTGAAATTTCTTAATCATCAAATATTTCTTAATGCATTTCAAAAAAGATTATCTTTTTAACACCAATGCAAAGATTGAACAAAGGACACACTATTTCAATAATAACATGCCATATTTAATGGGCCACTTCAATGTTTTAGCATATCAAAAATATTTTGAAACATTAGTGATGTCACTAAGGTACCAAAAACTTTTTTTTAAAAATTGAAATTTTTTTTCGATGTCAATCTTTCCTAAATATGTTAGACTTTCATAAAAAACCAATGTTGATTGTCTAACCAGGTTAAAAGGAAGAATAAATTATGTTTTAGATATCATTGTACCATTGGTTTCTATGAGAACTAAAATTTTGAAATGCATTTTTCTCAGAACCATTTTCATGCACTGATAAGTTCATTTCTCGCTTATTTATGAACCGATTTTCTTAATTTTTTCGGCAAAAAGCATGGGAGGATGAATGCTATACATTGGTATGAATTGTGGCTAATTAGAAGATATGAGTGACCTCTAAAAGTTGGTTTTAAATAAATTCACACATTTTGGAACAAAAAGTCTATCAAAAACCACTTTTTGAAATTTAAAAAAAAAGTTTCACATATCACACTTTGATAACATTTGGTAAGACTACAATATAAGCCAAAGTGGTTTAAACTTTATATGGGGCCTTTAAAGTTTGGACCATTCAAAGAGAGTATCACGATCCACTACGTTGGCATGTGCGTACGAGGTACGAGATGTTTTATTATATACAAGGAAAAGTGGTTCAGAGAAAAAAATCATTTTAAAATTCTAGTTCTCCTTTAATGAAATGGTACTTATATTTGCTGCAAAATATTTTCAATCTAAATAGGCCAATGCAATAACATTGCTCTACTTTTAAGGCAAATAAAAAACAATTTCAGGAGAAAAAATGAAGTATAGTATAAAATCAAAGATTGAATGGCTGAAACAATATGAATTTTGCCTGATCTATTCACCACAGTGTTAAGTGTTACATTTGGTGTTATTAAAATCAAATAATTCAGAAGACAACAGAATCGTCGATTTCATTCCTCACTTAAGTTACATAAACTTTCGCAAATATGTACATTTTCTAAAACATATGATATTGATACACGTTTGTGAGAAAAAAGTCGTCGAGATTCTGCCTACAACGCGTGAAATAAGGAAACAAAGAAAAATCGTACCTTCGACGTTCCGACATTTTGTTACCATTTCGGTAACCTGAGTGTAATAGAGCAGATCACCAGTGTTATTTACATTTATCTATTTGAATGTATCCAGTCTGTAAATTCATAATACTTACGGCCATCCCATTCATAGCCTTCGTCACAAGAACATGTGTATGCCCCATTAGTATTAGTACAGTTAGATCCTTCATCACATAAATCGGTCCCCAAAGCGCATTCATCTATGTCAGTACAATTTGCTGAAATCAAAAGAATCATGTAAAATAATCATAGCATGTACATGCGTATTGCATATGCCCCATCGGTATCAGTACAGGTCGATCTGTCATCACATAAATTGTCTCCAATTGAGCATCCATCTATATTAGTACAACTACATGTAGCTGAAGTCAAAAGAAACATTATTTTCGTAAAACTCAGTAACCATAAAATACATTGTATCTTATTTGCTTGTCTGAATGAAAAATAAATTTCACTGAAATAATAAATGGTTGCCATAGTAACCAAAGATATAGGACCCGAGATACATGCTGGAATTACACCATGCGTTTTAGAAAGGCGCCTAAGGGTTTAACCCGGTTTGAAAAATGGGCGTAATCACAATTGCGGTTTTACAAAAGCGCTTTTCCAAAACTCCTAGAACCCTAGTCACTAAAAACCCTTAAAACGTAAGGCGCTTAAGGAATGTAGTGTTATACCAATCGGTTTTTGTAAAACGCCTTACCTGGGTTTTTACCATCGTACTTCGAATGCTACACATCTGGGCCACCGCAGAAATACAGGAAATGATGGATGAAATGGGTTATCAAATTATATCGCAAAAATTTAAAGTAAGTTTACACCACTGGCAAAAGTCTTGTTACGTTTTCTCTTAGATGCTAAATTAATACATTTATTGCAGATGTACACATCTGCTGGATATTCTCCATATCTATATCGTTAAAAGTTTACGAAAGGCATTTTAGAAATGAGAGGTCTAATTCCAAAATAAAATTCCTAAGGCGCTTGAGAAATGTTGGTGCAATCAGGATGGCGATTTTGTAAAGCGCTTTCCACTCAAGGGCTTTTAGCGTTTTTTCTGGTGTAATTTCAGCAACTGACCGACTGAGTCTCAGCAAGTTTAACTATGTTACAATCTGTTTTCAAGTATAATGGGTTAGAATAGGGGTCTTAAACAGGAGGTTTTAGCTTAAGCGAGGCCTTTCTGAAAACCTTGTTTCTTTAAAGGTATATTCCTTGCAAAACCACCTCTCTCCTGATATTGTAGCTATAACCATTATTATATACTTTCCAAAACACGGAAAAATGTTTTGATATCGTCAATATTGATCAATTAAAAATGTAGTACTCAATTCCAGTAGGTTGCATAGAAATGATCTGGCCAGGAATGTATTTTTGAGATCTCTGCATCGATCCTATTATCAGTCAGTAATTTTGGATCCTTAGCTTACATAGGATGAAGCATGCCCATGGTATCACATAATTCTCAAAATTCACTTGCAATAATGATATTTTGATGGCGTTATCATAGTGAGTCATTTTGGGTCATTAGCTTTGATATTACATATTACATTGCATGCCAATAAACCCAAGACATCATACAATTCACACGGTCACTTGATATTTTGAAATACGTACCTCCATCCCATTCATAACCGGCATAACAAAAGCACACTGACCCTAAAATAGAAAAAAGAATACGTTTTGCTTTGTTGTCTTATGAATAAAACTTTGCTCAATATTTAAATATCTGCGTATTTATATTTACACTTTTACAATTTTTTAAGGATTCTGAATCTGGAGTCGAAAAAGAAAACTGACTTCCGGCTCACTAGTCCATGATATGAATCCAAGAGGAGGGAAAACCCCATGATTCAATTGATGACATACGATTTCCTCCTTCGCGCACCTCCATTCCCGGAAGTATGTATATTTATACTTCCCTCCATCTTGGTTTTCAACGTTTTCAAATTGACTTAGTTTTAAACCAATCAACGATCGACTCGCTAAACCAATCAGCGACGATGTCATCTCAATACAGGTTTACATTATAAGTGTATGTCATCTTTGAACCCTGGGGTTTCTCCCCCTCTTATATGAATCCGGAATATGAAGGATCCGTAACATAATATAGCGAAGCAACATTTGAACCAATACTTAAGGAGGTCCATACATTAGCCGTGCCCAAGTCGGTATTTTTTACTAATCTGATCTTGAATTATTACCACCACGGTCATAATAGAAATCAAGATAAGTAAAAGAGACCGACTTGGGCAAGGCTATCCATACATGTATGTCTTTATTTTTGAAAATATTGTTTGCTGAAAAAATTTGGGCTTTTGGGTCAAAATATGTCTTTCATCACAAGGGGTAAAAAACGTAAACAATTACATAAGAATTTTTACCCATTTTAGACCCAAGACGTTTATCTTTAGAAGCATATTTACAAACTGAAGTATCATTATGCACAAAAATTAGTTATACTTTTAATGTAATTGTCCGTGATTAGTGTAATTATGTGTGCTTTTATATTTTGTTTAATGTTTCAAATATTGGTCAAGCAGATTCAACAAAATTGTGCGCATTATCTAAAAAATGATAAAAAATGATACAAGGATTTTACGATTTGAAAAAGTTATTTAAAAAATTCACCCCTATTATCGCCAGGGGTCAACTTCCTTATGTATAACGAAACATAAATAAATGTGTGATTCAAATAGAGGTCTATTTGAATCTTTATTTATTCAGAGGCTATGTCTATTAGTCCATAAGAGGCATGTGCAATCAAACGCATTTGCATTCTCTTTCGATGGTACTGCTGCAGACCATCACATTTTCAAATAATTATATCTTTTTTACATTACTGCTGGTTATTATCACATTTTGATGAATATTAAAACTAATTTTTCTCAAAGTTTCATGAATTCGGTTGGTTGTTTTATAATCAACTGAGCAGTATCTAACAAGGGGCGAAACAATTTTAAGTTCATTGAAGGTCGCAACTCAAATCTATATTCAGATTTGAACTTTGGAGAACTTTTAAATGATTTTGAAAAAATGGTCGATTTGAAGCAAGTTGAAAAAATGCCCTGCCCTGTCCTGTCCTGTCCTGTCCTGTCCTGTCTGACATCTCCTCATAGATCGTTTGACTTTGGGCTTACATATTTGGTCAACATACTAAGTGGGCCGGCGGACATTCTACGTAAGGTCAACATTTAGTAAAATGTCAATATCTAGGTAATTTGCTTTTGAACAACCTTGACGACCTTGAATTTTGATTTTACAGATGATAAGGTTACTGGTATGCGGTGTAGCTTATTATAAACGCATCACCATTTTTTACTTTCTTAAGAACCCTTGGTATACCATGATGGTTAGGCCCACGCCTTCCTGAAAACGCGGTTGAATTGCTACGTTCACTGATTCATCCCATAAAATGGCCACGATGGAACAGAAAGTTAAGATGGGTGCATGATTTTCTACTACTGTGTATCAATGAAATCATGAAGATTTATATAAGCGTCGCATTCGGTGATGCATTCAGTTATGTATATTTTGAAAGTAGTGTTTGCAAATTGATGCCCGGGAATAACATGAAATAAGCGAAAAACTGTCGAGTTTGAAATTCAAAACTACAGGTACATAAAATTTAGTATTTTTTTAATTTTCCTCGTTAGGGCATGGTCTACATTGCCTAAAAACCGTGGTGTATATAGATGTAACCTACATACGATCACGCAAAACATTGATGGACAGATACGCAAACCTTGTTCATTTATGATGCCATCGATTCATTTCATATCGCTTGTGATCCAAAATTGAAATGTTGCTAGATATCTTTCAACCGGATTTCTTACCCGTTATTACAATAACATGGAAAGAGGCTATCACAACTATCAACCTTGATTTGACAGGTGTACATGCATGTAACCGTCCACTAAATATCGAATGTACAACTAATACAATACGTTACCGTCCTTAAAAAACATGTAATTCATACGTGGTCGTCTGGCGACCTTGCGATTGAAACCTTATTATTAACAATATACACCACATTCCTGCCCTGGATTTTTCATTATATACTTTTATACAAGTTTACTTACAGTTAGTATTAGGAGTGGCTCTGAGGCACATATAGGCTGAGAAAACACGACAATGGACTAAAAATTATGAACTTGGGTATCTCAGCCGGTTGTATATGGCAGATTTAATTCAAGCTTTATGACCATCCATATAAGTTATATATCACCGAATGGAACTAGTTTAAAAGGACATCTTACCTGTGAATCTTGCCTACAGGCACAAAGAGGACATGCTGTCTTTACCATCCGCCATTTTATATTATCGTTTCCGCAAAATTTTGCAAATCGCCTAGACGTAAACGTCGTGGTATACCAGGGTGTAAGGCTCTCGAGGCCGCTATGGTATGTCTGGTATTGCAGCCTCGTTTTGGATAAACATGCATGGCTGGATCGCGTTACCTCTGTCGATCATGGATACTCCCGGGGGGATACTCATGTTTATTTATGCTCATCTGAAGCCCCCTTTTACGTTAATGCAAAGCACACAACTAACAAAAGTGTTTACCTTCTGTACATGATGTTAGCGTGTAATGAGAAAGCGTCCACGCGTTGTCGTTGCCAGCTACATACAGAGGAGTCTGTATAGATTCCGGATACTTTGGACCTTCGTAAAAATAACCCGTGATAGCGGCGGCTCCTACAGTTTGACTTATATACCACGAATTAAACCCAGGCCAATAATACAGATAATTAGCAACATCTATATGTTTATACACTGGGCTATCAGCAAAGGTTTCCTGTTGTAACACATATACACCAAAAATGTTAAACGAATTAGGGTGTGCATAAGTGTCATCACCTTCCAAGTACAGCCATTGAACTGAAAAAAAAATGAAAATTACAATAAAATTATATTAGATGGAATCGAACAACGCATTCTGTTTTTATACTTGCTGCCAAAATACCCCTTCTGTCCAAAATGAGCACGGTTTTATTTATTTTTTAAACAGAATATTACTGTTAAATATCTGAGACACAAACAAAAGTAGAACCAACGATTTTGAAAATACTAGTACATTAAAGGCATCCGTTGAACCTTCGAAAGCCGTCAGTGATTAGACAAAGAATCGAAAGATTTATGTAATATCCAAATTCTCATCTCATCTTTATTTCGATGAGATAGAAATTAACTTTCAAGCCCAGAGAACGGCGAGGGTGCACATTTTACGAAGAAATGAAGTCTGACTTCTAGATCATTGTTAACCAATTCACCGTACAGGTTCAATCACATTGAAACAACACCTTTTCATCTATTTCGACAATAAAATACATGGTCCTTTGACTGAATTTTGAATTTCAATGACGTAAATTATTTTTGAAATTTCATATGACAGTCAGTTCTAATTATTTTGGGACGCTACGCATTGGGCAATCGGAGACTTTATGTAAACACTTCATGTAAATTGAAATTCCCTGCATAATTATCGACACATGTTTAAAATTCATGAAAACAAGGTTGAACATGAAACATCGACCTAGTTACTGTCTATTTATAATGGAATCACTAAGGGAAATATCATTAATGACTTAAATCGTCAACAGATATGTTGTATTCCAAGAAACTTATCAAATGTTCAATTTTGTTTTATAATTAAAAAAGATTGTCACCGGCTGTAGAGAACAACGTTTACAAAATTATTTAAAACGGAGATATTTTCTTACGTAACATTCGTTGGCATGTGTCAGGGAGTAAATAAGAAGAATGTTCTTTTGATATTATATCTTGTTCCCAAAGGATTTTTTCAGGAGCGGTATACCTTAACGTACTTTTATCATCCCGAACTCAAACATTTCGAATACTTATTTCGCGAATGTTTTGTTGAGAATTGATTCGAGATGTACTAAAAATTAAAACGTTAAAATGTGTATTATCATCTTAATAACTATATAAGTTTATCAAAATGGAACAAACTCTTAATCTTAGAAATGAAAACTGTGCCCTGTAGCAGAGCGTATTGAAGAACTAATTTTTAGAATTTGTGAAGTTCAGAATTTAGTTGTAAATATCATGAGACTAATCTATTGTCTAGAATGCTGTAAATTATGTTGTACATTTGCACAGAGGATTATATGGGTATATAATATGAATCAATGAGTACAGATAGGTATTATATAAAAACAGAATAAATATATAATAATCAAAAAAAAAATCTTAATAACCATATCACAAATTATTTTGGAAATAAATATGTACGATCTTTGAGTTTTTTTTTATTTTCGAATGTTGACAATTAGTTACTTGACTTAACTGACAAAATGGTGGAGTAAATCCTGAAAATGTCAAAGATATGAAGAAAATAGTGGTAGGGGTTCCAGTTTTTTACCACCCTACCAAAAGATGGCTTTTAAAACGAAACATTACATGAATGGTTGACAGAAGAGCTCACCTGCACAGGTATGATTATCGTCTTGCAAAGTAAATCCATTGTTACAGCTGCATTCGTATGATTCGCTGTTATTTGAGCAGGTATGCTCACATCCACATTCGTTATCATCTAAATTAAATAATAACATTAATATGATTCAAACAAGTTGAAAAAAAGTATATCCAACTTCAAGGCCAGGATACTAAAATTCTCAAGCATCTTTTAAAAATACAAAGGTAGCAGTAAAAGGCCCATTTTGTCCTCCATCCACTGGTACCTAGATCATTATGTAACTGTCATGGATGACAGATCAATCGTGACTTTTATGAAATGTGGTAAAATCAGTACTGTGCCAAGTTAGAATTCAAGTAGGAATGACAAAGTGGATGTTTTTTTTGTGTTCAAAACATCATTAATGTTCAAATTCAAACTTGTTTCGTGTTCTTCATACTTTTACATAATCGTCCATAACTTTTTGTTTGTACCTCCCTCTCAAGAAATTGGGTCCGAAGAGCCCTTTGATCAGCAATGAAACTTCTACTTGATGATATGCAGCTTTGAAGTCCCAAGTCCAGTTCAGTATGGAAGGGCTGTCATCTAACTTATTGTAACAGAAAAAAAGAATACTAAGCCAATTACACATCAATTGCCACACGTACACGGGAAGGTAACTTGGCACGGTGCTAATTTTACCACCTCTCATAATGGTCAAGATTGCTCAGTCATACATGACAGTTACATAATGATCTTGGTACCATTTGATGGAGAATAAATCAGGCCTTTTACTACTACCTTTGTATTTAAAAAACTGCTTAGAATTCTAGTAATTTGGTTTTAAAGTTGGGTATACTTTTTTGTGGAGGCCCTGTAGAACGTCTACTGTACTACTTTATGTTGTTATATTCTCCTCCGTAATGCTTTGCGTTTAGTTTTTAGAGAACCGTCTCCTTAGTCAAACTGTAGTTGGAAATGGAATAAAACGAGTAAGGAAGAATAAATACATTTTAATAACGATAAATCAAGATTGCAAGTATTCATACGTACAGCCCAGTGGGAGCGTTTGACAATTCGAAGGTCAGTCGAAGGTCAAACCTTAAATCTAATGCCATATTGGAACTTTTGGACGATATTGTAAAAAAGGTTTGACATCTTGAGGGTCACTCAAGGTCAACCAAAGGTCAAATCTCAAGTCTAAGATCAGGACTCCAGATTTCTCAAAAATATAAATTTTGGTCTGTATGAGCAAGTCAAAAAAGGTTATTTTGACCTTCAATATCTTAAAATCTGGAAAAATAATTCACAAAAGAGCAAAATGGCTAATAGAAGTTGTAGATTACGTCCGACATTTATGAGTAAACACATTTTTAGCCGAAATATTGATCTATAGTCTCGAATTCTATTAGCTACCTGACTTTGAAACCTTGACGTTGACCTTAAATATGCTTCTTTTCCGACCTCAGTAGATCTTTAGTAATTAAGCTTATCTCAATTTGAATTCTAATTATCAATTTGAAAAAGCAACCTTTTTACCTTTCAAAGGTCACTGAAACTCCAGTTAGAGTCATCTGTGGAATAATGAATAAGTCAGATAAGTCAAAGGACTGGTATCGATATGATGAACTGAATTCAACAATGTTTTTCTCTGCAACCAATTATTGAAACAACCTGTAAAAAACACGATCCTTTATGGAATTTTGACTGATTGACAACACTTTAACGCGAAAATTATTTATATATAGTTTATATAACTGTTTTTGTTAACATTTTTTGTTTTTAGTGCAATTTGTTTTTGTTCCTTTTTACCAATTATGAAATAAAATATCTTTCCGAAGCTTGTTGGAACAAAATAGCATATACAACTTTCTTAAACCTCTCAATATTATAGTTATACAAAGGAAATTTTGGTTGATATAACAAAAAGTATTCAAAAATTAAAACAGCAACCCCCAAAATAGATAAATATTGAGAGACCTTAACACGCTGTTTTTGTCATTTTGTTCCAATGAAGTTCGGAGAGATGTTTCATTTCATTCCGAACATATGATACCAATAACAAAAGAAGTGTCTGATGTGTTTTCTAAAACAATATAGAGGAAAGTATATATATGTATTTCAAATTATATTGTTAACATAATATTGACAATGAGTAAAAAAATCAGAATTTTTTATGACTAGTTTAAGAGAAACGTGTGTTCAAAAAGTTCACTATGTCGATACCCATCCTTTAAAAAATCAAAAGTCAACAAGGTTGAACAGACTAGAATCTGGAGTCTAAAACTTGCCTATAGATTCCACATGCCAAGGTATTATTACTTACACTAATAGTAGCCGAGACAACACAAGTCCCAAGTCTGTTTACTCCCATTTCCTCACTTTCCTAAAGGAGGAAGGAAAGTAACCCGCAACAGATTTCGAACAGTCATATGTTGGATTTTGGCTATTTTCTGAGGATTTAAACAGGTACATATGTTAGATCAATGCATTACCTCCGGGAAAAGCACTCATAGAAATGATAAAATAATTTCAACTTTGAGACAGGGAAGATGCAAACAACCCACCCACATGTTTTTTCTAAAATGTTGTTCTGATTTTCATCCCCTTCCATCCCTGCTTTTTCATCATTTTGTTTAATGCACAACATAGAAATCAACCCAATCAATTGTTGTTGCATCAATACGTGGCGTTTTGACACACAGTAGACTCCTATGAAGGAATAAGTGATTCATTTCTATGAGTGCTTTTCCTGCAGGTAATGCATCGATCTAACATATGCACCTGTTTAAATCCTCAGAAAATAGCCAAAATCCAACATATGACTGTCCGAAATCTGTTGCGATACTAGTACTTTCCCTCCTCCTTTAGGGAATCATTTGATTCTAGTTGGTCTATTATCAAAATTTGTCAATTTGTGAGACAGATGTAATATTTTGACTTATAAGAAATGAGAGTAAATACAGATTTGGGACTTGCGTTGTCTTGGCTACTATTATGAGGATACTTTGGAATACTTACACGAAAACAACTTTGGAATACTTACACGAACAAGTATATGCCCCATCAGTGTCAGAGCAGGCAGGTGCTGTTTTACATGAATCGGTCCCAATACTGCATTCATCTATGTTTGTACAATTTGCTAAAATCGAAAAAATCTTTGTTTTATTTCACATACCAAGTCATCAAACAACTTATTGAATCTCCTTGATAAAAATGCACGACTACTCATAATTTCAATACTTGGCAAAAGGAAAACTATCATATTGAGGAATAATATAATAATACTATTGATATTAGATTTTCTGTATGGCCCACTCCTCTGGAATAACCTTGATAATAAAATAAAACAAACTGAGTCTCTTTTAAAAGATTTTGTAAAAACGCTATAGCCGTACTGTCATATGAAACATTTGATATTGTCTTCTCTGCTTTTACGGCATATTGTTTAACTGAGTCTCTTTCATGTGAATGTGACTTTTGTATTTTTTTTCTTTGTATATTTTTGGTATACATGTATACCATGCAAACACGGAGTTTCTTATTGGTTAGACACCCTATCATTACTTGTTACTACATATGATGAAGCATGTCAATGAACCCTATGACATCATACAATTCTCACGATCGCTTTGTAATCATCATATTTTAAGATACTTACATCCATTATATTCATAACCGGCATCACAAGCACACATAATTCCTAAAATAGAAAAGAGAATACCTTTTGCTTTGTTTTCGAATAAATGAAAATTTGCTTGGCCCCTCAGTGAAAATTTGTCAAAGCAAAAGTATGATAAACCGAGGCCTATTCACTGGTATCGTTATAAAAAAGACACAGTCTCGCTATTTTCTATGACAAAATGGCCTCCGTTCCGGTGACAAAACCCTCGAACTATAGTTTAATTTCCTCATATAACACGCCTAACCATCGACCGGTCTGAAACAAAAACTATGATGTAGGTTTGATGTACGTTTTAAATATTGAAATACATGAGATGTGATATTAAACCACCTGACGGTGGGCAACCATACCGCACTGGGGATCAACCCGGTTATTTTTAAATTGTAAGGCTCCGGGCCGAATTAAAATGGCGGAAGAGGAAAATTCGATAATGCATGTGAGTACAAACTTTTTATTTTCTTCGTTTCTTGATTAGATACGAAGAAATCCTATGTACTGTTCGGTGAACAATATTGAAGTTATGACCCAGTTTGATTAGATACTTGGGGTTAGCCTACATTGTGAAAACAAGATGTAATAAGCCATACGGTGAACAGAATCGCACCCTTGAACAGAATACACTTTTTGTGATGGAAAATCCAAGATGGCCACCTTAACATTTACCCAGAATACCGAAAAACTAATGAGTTATAAACTTTTATAGGTAGAAAAACATCCATGAGAATTTCAAATGAATCCCTCAAACGGTTTGTCTGGAAACCTGTAGCCTTCACAGAAACGATTTTAGGAAGAAAAAATCCAAAATTGCCACCTTAACATTTACCAAGAATGCCGAAAACTAATCAGTTATAAAGGTGGAAACATCCCTAATAATTTCATATGAATCCCTCAAACGGTTTGGCTGGAAACCTGTAGACAAGCCTTGACAGATTTTAGGACGGAAAATCCAAAATGGCCGCCTTAACATTTACCCAGAATGCCGAAAAACTAATCAGTTCTAGTTTCAATAATCAAAGTCTTATATTGATAGAGTTATGGTCGTTCCAAAATATGCTCCAAACGTCGCCACTCCAATGTTAGGTTTTTGGATGAATCGCATTCCCTTCTTTCTGAACATGTAAACTCAAGAAATAATGTGTTCTGGGATCACAAATTCCAGAGGAAGTGCTTCAAAGGCCCCTTCATTCTGTTAAATGCACAGCTTGGGCTGCCAATTTTCAAACATGAAATCATCAGCCCCTTGTCGGAACACGTGTAGAAGGTACGATTTTTATTTTTTCCTTATTTCAATGCGTTGTAGGTAAAATCCCCACAACATTTTTTCACACAAACGTGTATCAGTATTTGTTCGCAAAAATGAATATTTTCCTAAACATATGATACCGATACACGTTTGTGATAAAAATGCCATGGGAATTCTGCCTACAACGTGTGAAATAAGGAAAAAAGAAAAATCGTACCTTCGTCGTTCCAACGTAATCGAGTGGATCACTAGTGTAATAATTATCTGGAAAATGCAGAGGTTCAATAGTGCGATCAGGTTGAAGTAATACTGTAACTGTTCAGTTTCAGTTTTGAATGCACCTGACCCCTCTGCCGATTAGTGTTATGAAAATTATGTCGTTTGCATTGAGGTTAAATGTGAACTAAGATGTGTAAGTCCAATGGGACAACGTACATCGAGTTGACAATGTGCATTCATGATTTCTTAAAAGTGTAGCCAAAATGTAAATGCTTGTTAAATCTTCAACTGACCTAAATTGTATAGTTTAGAGAAACATATTCTAATAATCGACACTCTTATGCAACAGGGGAAAATTGATCAAAGGAAATGTGAAAAAACAACAAGAATTGTGGGTGGATTTACTGAGAAAAAGTCGAGCTCTGCTAGAGAATCTTTTTACGTAATCAGAAAGCTTAAAGTCTTTCCAAGCGAATACACACGAAATCAAAAATGAAATCCTTTACGTATATTTTCCACATATTAAATTTTTTAAACGTACATCAAACCTCCATTATAGTTTTTGTTTCAAATCAGTTTATAGTGACACCGTACATCTAAAGTGTACGGCGGTATATTTTGTTACTGTACGTTGTCGTTAGTTAGGCGTGTTTAAACCCATTTTAAACGAGTTGAATCGTACACGGCGTTTAGCGCATTTGTGAACAATTCAGAGGCCTCATTATCAGTTGGTCGCAAACTATGTGCGTTGCGTCTGCGTTGCGACAGCGATCGCAGAACGCAACGCTTGAGTTGCTTGTTATTTTCAGTTGAGCGCAATCGCAGACGCAAAGCAAACGCAAAACAATTCACCTTTCCACAAAGTCAGCTCATGAATATTCTAATGAGCTGCTTAAAAATCTGTGACGTCAATGACTGAAACTTTTTCCCGCGAAAAACAAATGCAATTGAGTTTACATGTAAATCCTCGGTTGATTGCTGAAAGTTTTACCTCTTCAAATGTGCAAGTAATCAGTAAATTATTGACGGATTTTTATCGAACGTCAAATTGACATTTATTTACGCCTTCTAAGCGATTTAAATATTAAATTTCTGTTCATAATGAGTAAATAATTTGAAGAGAATTAATCCCGGTCAGTTTTCAATCATGATAGGAACTGGATGTGAACAGGTGAAATTATCATAATCATTAGTTCACCAACATTATAACATGTCTCTCATGCATAAAAATATATGGATAGACAATCTATTTTAAGTTAATCTTCTGTGTCATTTGATGAATGACCTGTTCAAATTAAAAACATTTGCTCATTAAATCATTGACTTCACTACTTCCATAATTCAATCAACTAAACGATTACTTCCTATTTATTTCTGCAAGTCATATCAGATCGTATCTTGAAAATATTATACTTGAAAACATTGGGATATAGAATTGATATCTTAGAGGAGCGTGATATATTTAGAGATTATCCTACATTAGGTTCAGTATATTGGGATTATCACGAGGCAAATATAATATATCTGCCCGAGGGCCGAAGGTCCCGAGGGAAAATGTATTATATTTGCCAAGAGATAATCCCAATATCCTGAACCGACTATAGGATAATATGTTTATCCCATACCAATCTTGGTCAGTTTTGTTATCTTGGCCGTGGGCGGATTTTCCTGTTCTATCAAATATTCCCAATATACGTCCAATATGTATATTGGACGTATACGTCCATTATTGACATCGCTTTGTTTGTAACTTCACAATTAACATTTTTTTGTTTTCAATCGCACGAGGCATGTGAGCCCCCGGGTATGTGAGGCTGAACTGAGAAGTCTTAATAAACAATAGTTCTGTCAAAAAATGATTAAATTAAATTACATAAGATTCGGAATGAAAGTGCCCCGTCCATATTTCATATTTGGTTAAAAATAATTAGTGCATTGGGCAAATAGAATCCTTTTTATAGCAGTTAATTCAAAATATTCCTATGCTGGCTGTACTAATTCTTCAAAACTTTCCATCATTGACGTCATTGATTTGACTCATTTGCATACAACCAATCAGCGCGCCGGAAATTATCGATTTTTTTTACTTTGTGGAAAGGTGAATAGAAACGCAAAGTAGCGAACGCAAGTTTAAAGTGTACTCTGGCGGGAAGTTTAAATCGTCCAATTATAAATACACACACTCTGACCAAATACAGGGTGATCACTAAGTTCTGGGAATTTATCTGTCATTTCATTATTTTTCAACCAATCTACTTGAAATTTTCAAGGTAAATGGAGAATATAATTTTGGGTTGGATAAAACAATCTCATTGTCATATGATGTCGCAATGTATAATTATTGTTGCTATAGCAACATGACAAATGGCGTAGCGGGTCAAGCAAAATTTGAATTCATTTTTATTTTACTTGATCCAAAAGTATGGTTAATTAATACCTATTTGGTGGACAAATTTCTGTGATTTTTTATGTTTTCAAATATTTCTAACTTTAGTTTCTAAAGTAACATCTAGAGTGTACTTTGCTCAATTTTCTTAAATTATTGGTCAGACTCTCAAAGTCACAATCATGACTCAAAAAAGCGGGGAGTTATCTTCCATTATGGCAATGCTTCTTCCCACTCCTCAAATTGCCCATATTACTCTTGAAGAATAAGGGTTCACACAAGTTGTTCATGCCCCATATTCACCATATAATGTTCACCAGATGAACCACCATTAGGTTCACTAAATTTGACTGTTGAAGCATCATATGAGAAATCACCATAAGTTTGGTTCCGATGAGGGACTGATCTCAACAGCTTGAGCAAATTTTCAAGGGATACATAAGGGAGGACTGGAAAGCGACTTTATGGACTAGGTTTGACAACAATGCATGGTCGTCCAGGCCTATGGAAATCATTATAAATGAAATGATCCTCCCAGCAATGAAGAATACTTCTGAATAAATGACTTCAAGAGTACTGTTCTACCTCTAGTACAATAAGTTTGAACCAACCATCTAGGCAAGATAAGTATGTTTTAGCAGGATATTTTCAAATTAACGCCAGCCAAAATTTGCTGACCCGCCGACCACTTTTACTTTTTTTATAATTACAATAACATAAATTGTAAAAGTAATATGTATATGAAACATTGTCTGTCAGTTCAGAACTATACAATGTACATTTGCTGGAAGTTTCAACTGAATTGGTTGAAAAATATTGAAATGACATACCAATTCCCAGAACTTAGTGATCACCCTGTATAGATGTCTGTTCGGTTTTTTCCATTCTTGTATCGTTGAATTAACTAAGACGTATTCCAAACGAACGTGTTGTTCGTTGATCATGATCAAAGGAGGACGATGTCTGGTTTCATGGTTACAGACTGCTAAAACAAAAATGCTTCAAAATAGACAAAGTTACCTTTCTCAATGTACAAGTTTAATGTACAATTCAAAAAAGGGTCTTTACAAATATGTTAGCATGGCTTTCGAAATAGTCTCGTTATTAATAGTAGTTGTCATTTCCGTGTCTTCCGAGCTAATTTTTCCGAATTCCGGGTTTTATCCCTGCATGTTGAATTATTCATATGGAGAAGCCACACGTTCGTCTGTCCGTCCATCCGTCCATTATATAATTCAATTAATACTACTGATTCAAATATCAAGTAATTTATTTCATCACCATCACGCCTGGAGATCGGAAAAAAGGAACAGGGATTGAGCGGGGGTATTTGATTTATGATTTTTGACGAAAAAGCACGAAATGAATAGTACATAGTATGATAATCATTAAAGGTTTTTATGATTTTTTCTTAACTGATACGCTTCAAGGGTGTGAGATTTTTTTAGAAAGGCGCAACGTCACCAGGGTGCAAAAGTCAATATTTTTGTTGTAAATAAATGCATTAGATGAAGAAATCATTACTATTATGAATTTTTACAATTACCCCTCCCCCTCCATTCCTTTCACTCCCCTTCGTTCTCTATATAATTTTGATTATTTCTTATATCCTTTTATTAGTGTATTCTAAAAACGTTGCGCATTTTTAATAGATTTTCATACTCTAGAAAAGAATCAGTTTAAAAAAATGGGACACAATGCAGGTTTTTCCACCATGGACATATTCATTATCAATTAGTGATAAATTCGTAATCTTTCCTACGTACGTGCGTACCTACACGTACGTACGTATGTGTTTAGAATGGGAGATATTATATTTGGTGGCAACGGAAATCATTATACTCAATGTGATTGAAGGTATATAACAGAAATTATTGATGATTATCATAGTACCCCCTCATAAAAGTGGGGGGGGGGTAGAAATGGCAATAATTCGCAGATGCTTAAAAACTAGACCCTATTATTTTCAAAATCAATGAGAATTGATATACTTGTATTTCACATTATTAACATAATTAGAAAAATGCAATCCTGCAAGCAAAAACATGGACCAAGCTCATCCAGTACCTTATCAGTCAAAATAGAAAACGAGTTATAGATGGGCAGAATAATGGTATATGAGACAATAACAAAATGGAAGTGAATAAAAATTCAGTTTTCAGGGTTATTTTGATATTTCAAAAACAAGAAACCATAAAAAAGATATGTTTTATTTATTGTTAATCAGTGAGTTTTGCTCTGCAAGGCCTACATAGCCTATACACATGATTACCTATACGAAAAAATAAATTTTTAAGAATTACTATTCAAAAGTTATGAAGACCTCTGATTTCTCAATATCAGCGAAAATGCAATTGTAACAATGTGGAAATAACGGGACGAAATGTCTCATATCTGGAGGTTCCCAGTTACGGGAAATCCTATTGCTATAAAATCCTAAGATGACCTAGTACGGATTGCTCGTTTTTAAATATTCTTGGCAGACATATGTCTAATCAACTCAATGTTCTCATCTCCCTAAGTAATCAAAATCCCAAGGGATTTGGCGATTTAAAAGTATGAAACATTTAGTTCTCTTCGAGTGTCACTTGCAGACTTGTGTACGTCGTATTCGCATTAAAAGTTAGAATAAACACGATTTTTGAAGGATTTACAAGCTTAACAAAAAGCATGTTTTAATGATATAATATACATACGATTCAACAATACATTTGATAGTATTGATGGAAACGTAATCAGGTAATGCGATGATTCCCAAAAACACCACAAAACAACCGCTAAAATATATAAAACGGCACTCAAAGATGCACTATATTTGCGTTTTGATTTGCGGCAGGGTAAAAGATATCGCAAGTATTTGTTCACTTGCGTTCAAAAAATCTACAATCTTGCGTCAGAACTGCGTTGCGTCATATTGGTAATATGTTTTTTAGGAAATATATGCGATGCGATGCGTTGCGTTGCGGGCGTAACGCATGCGATTCTGCGTTGCGACCAACTGATAATGAGGCCTCAGGTTCGCATCTTTCTGTCTCTACAGAAACACAACTGAGAAGAAAAAAATAAGTAGAAAAATAGTCTATCATGATGATCCTCATCCATATTCAAAAATTCGATCCCCCTATACACTTTATTGTTTGCAATAAGTTCGACAATTGATTCATTAGGCTGCATGAATTGTTCTGTGTGTCAAGCATGATGTATGTAATCAAAAAACCAAGTTTTGAAATGACAGAAATAATGGTAATCGCGCGGATTGCCCTGATTCCTCCCAATTACACATCCCAACCTTGCTTCAGTAAACACGATTTCTTATTTTCAACGACAATTTGGTTACTTTTAATTCGGGTAGGGAACTTTTTCCAATTGTGGTTAGCAATATAGTTACACGACGACAGAATCTCAAAGATAATCATGCAATAAAATAATTTTGGAATGTGTTTTTGATCCTACCACCCCTATGAAAAAAATAAAAGCGCCCGCCTGGGTCGCCTGCCCGCCTGTAAAATACAGGTAACCAGAAACAATACAGACTACCCTACCAAGTAACAACGTTTAAAGGGATACAGGATTCAGTTAAGTTGCAAATGGAGGACATGGGTTTATTTCCAAATTTCTGAACGTAAACTACATTTTACAATTCCTAGTGTTCTACCAGACATAAAATAGATTCACCAAGCACTTGGTAGAATATTGTTAGCAAAAACCGTAAAGGCAAAGACAGAGACTATTGGGCGCAGTAAAGTAAAGATTGAAGGCAATACAGGATACTTTTTAGTAAATCCATTAATTTACAGGGCGCTTGTAAGTTTCATTTTGAATATGTTACTTCTTTTGACATTGATATGCTACACAACCCCCAGTTAACTGTTTTTATACTGCATGTCATTGTGTTTTATGTAGATGGGTTTTCTAGTATGTTATGCCTAGGTCACATAGCCGCCGGGCGCCGGCCGATGAGTAGTCATCGGCCGATTTCTAAATCGACCGGGCGCCGGTGACTTTTCACCGATGTCTTGATCTAATCGTGATTATGGTCACATTAGTACAGTCATCGTACATCGTACGTGGAGTACCTTCTTCCCTAGACAAATCTAAATCTTCATCATCCAACAGCTCACGAGCATTGTTATTGTCTTTTCCCACCTGTCTTCCCAAGGCCTTCCTGATATGCAGTATGGCCCGTTGGCCTTATCCCCTCTATCCTTAGCCTTTGGAATATTGACTGTAATTGAGACAGTGAACTTTCGTATTCAAATTGTGACCCTTGAAAATACTGTACTCAGAAAAACATTCAGAAGATTTTTAAAATAAATGATTTGTAATGGTATATGCATGAGTGAATATACGCATAAAAATGTATCACTCTATTCAATGTGTATGACAGACATACACGATTAATGTCAATATAAGAACGACTAGATCAACCCATCACCCAGCCATTCAAATGTGTGTCATTGTTTTACAGTAAGCCTAATCGTTCCATTTATGTTTTATAAAAATCTCTCACAGTGTGTAGTAATTATAATTTCTTAACTCATTATTTTTTAAACCTTTATATCACTTTATAACTAATCATTATTTATCAAGGATTTTAAGATTTATCAAACAAATCAGCACGCAAAATCCCAAGATGACCGTGCGATGCCACCGGGCGCCGTAAGATAATCGGACGATGATCGGACGGGACACGGCCGGGTAGGTACCGATGAGTTTGGTTGAGAGAAAATCGCCAAGACATCGGCAACTTTTATCTCCGCGATAAAACTCTGCCGGCGCCCGTACGATGTCTAAAAATCGGCCGATGAGTGGCGATCATCGCCCGGCGCCCGTACGATGCCCGGGCTCGCCGGCCAATTTTGAACAAAATACTCATCGGCCGGGCGCCGTAGTGAAAATCGGAGCCTATGTGACCAAGGCATTATTCAACTGTGCTTTGTGAATTAATGGTTAATGGTCAACCTGTACTAGACATTGGTCAAACAGTATCCATCACGAAATAGTATTGTTCAATTCACAACGAGCAGTTCTTGGGAGTATCACATCAAATTTTCAGTTTTGATTCAGGGATTGAAGCAGTTGAGTTTTAGAGTTTAATCAGTCAGTTACAACCATGAAGTTACTGTTATTACCACCTTGCAGGGCCCGTTCTAGGGGTTTTAGTACTAGTTGAGAAGGCATTTAAATTGCTATATTGACGTGAGCAATATTGTGTCGGGTGTTAATGACTTTAGTCGGGCAATAATGACATCATCCGCCCGGTTATGTTTCCCGGGAAAAGTGATATCGTTCAGTGCGTAAGATTTTCTATTTCAAATTTGCTATTTCAGCTCTGGGCATTAACGGTGGTAATAATAGTAATAACGTCATTTCTGCGGGCAAAATAGTGAAATATTGGACCTTGGGCCTGCGGCCCTTGGTCCAATATTTCACTATATTGCCCTTTGAAATGACGTTATTGTACTATTGACATGCAAACAATGAACAATAAATGAGCTAAAATTGAACTATATAATCTTGTTTACTGTCACTAAACGACACGAGCCATTTTATATACTATATGTTAGGCCTACATTGGGGTTAAGATTACGTGTCATCATTTTATAACAATCCAAATCACATAGCTAACCAAAATATTTACCTTCTGTGCATGATGTTAGCGTGTAATAGGAAGCCGTCCACTCATCGTCGCTGCCAATTACATACAGAGGAGTCTGTATAGATTCCGGATAGTCTGGATTTTCGTTAAAATAAGCCCTGATAGTGGCACTTCCTAAAGTCTCACTTATATACCACTGATTGTCGGAAGGCCAATAATACAGATAGTTAGCAACATTTATTTTTTTATACACTACGCGATCACTAAAGGTTTCCTGTTGTAACTCATATACACCAAAAATGTTAAACGTATTAGGGTGTGCGAAAGTGTCGTCACCTTCTAAGTACAACCTCTGGACTGAAAAACAATTAATATCAATTGTAAATAAATATGATGGATGAATGATAAGAATATACGTATATACAGGGTGTTTAAGTGATGACACTACATGTAGCTCTCCCATTTCTACAGTTTTTAACCAATCTTTCTTGATTTTGCACATATTATGTGGCATGTAATAATGATTGCACATACTAAATTTCATGTCTCGAGACCGAAAATAGTTATACTATCATATAGATTTTGATTTGGTAACAAGGTACATGTACATGTACTTGACACAGCACATATGACACATAAATGTCACATTTTACATAACTTAGGAATCTCTAATCCTGAGCATATCCCTTCTGCAAACGATGTAATATTTATATTCAGCACTTTTTGTCCATACCCAGTGGATACAATGTTCACTACAAAGTAATTTTAATCTTCTTCATTGCATTTTTATTGTTGTTTAGCCAACCATTTTTGGAAAACATTTATCAGTTTTTTCGGAATGAAGCTGTTGACTCTTAAGAAGACAAACAGCATCATTTGGAGAATAATGAGCAAGGTCTCAATTACCGAAACGGTTCGTTTTGGTAACAAAATGTCGGAACGTCAAAGGTACCATTTTTCTTTTTTCCTTATTTCACGCGTTGTAGGCAGAATCCACTCGACATTTTTCTCACAAACGTATATCAGTATCATATAAATGTACATGTTTGCGAAAAAACTCTGAAGACAACAGAATCGCCGATTTAATTCCTCACTTAAGTTACATAAACGGTTTGGATTAAAAGTGCAGACCTTAACTGTTTTTCGAAAAACCGTTTATGTAACTAAAGTGAGGAATTAAATAGACGATTCTGTTGTCTTCTGAACTATTTGTTCGCAAATATGATCATTTTCTTAAACATATGATACTGATACACATTTTTTTTTTAAATGTCCGGGGAATTCTGCCTACAACGTGTGGAATAAGGAAAAAAGAAAAATAGCACCTTCGATGTTCCGACATTTTGTTAATAAAACGAACCGTTTCGGTAAGCAGCGTAATCGAGTGGATCACCAGTGCAGTTACCTATTTCCACAAAACCTGTTTTCTGGTGACGCTTTTTTATCTTTGGCAGACTTTCCAACTCATGGAGATCCCAGAATAATTATGGTGTCTTTTAACTAGGACTACTATGATGTCATACTATGAATGAACCATACTATAAATGATCCACAGGAAATATTTTAAATCACCAACTGATATAAATTTAATGGAGAATACATGGCTCAAAATCATGTGAATCATGTGCCCGGCCGATTGAGTGTTTTGTTCAAAATTGTTTTCAGTTTGGAACAAAATACTCAATCGGCCAGGAGCCGGCCGATGAATCGCAGCAAATACGACCCTGCAGGCATGAGGGAGAATACTTCTTATATATTATGCAATGCACTCGCCCGCGGGTAAGTCAAAAACGCGGTCTTAATATACTCATATATATTTGTCAAATAGATGTCTCCAAGTCAAAATAAATTAGGATTTCTCAAAGGTGTCCTTATATGGCTTAAGCAAAAGTTCAATATCTCAAGGTTCCATCATTTGCCCTCATTGCTTCTTCTTTATATAAATGATCTTAATGAAGCTCCGAATCATAACTTTTTATAGTTCTATTTTCTTTCACTGTGCCACAAATGTGTTAATACACAGACATATAGCCCGTTCATATGATTGCATGAATACTGATTTCACTGAAAACGAAGGGTTGATGAAACCATGTAAAAACAAAGTTGTTGATTTTCTTTCTCAGAGATATTTCTTTTTCTTTTTGACGTTTAAAAAAATATATATCTCTGAGAAAGAAAATCAACAACTTTGTACATTACTACCAGAGAGATGAACATTCATAGAAGCATGTAAAAACAGCTCACCTGTACAGTTATATTCATCATCTCGTAAAGTAAATCCATCGTTACAGCTGCATTCGTTTGTTCCGTTGTTAATTGAACAGATTTGCTCACATCCACCATTTTCTGTATCACATTCGTTTGCATCTAAATAATTTTTTAGAGGTTATTGTTATTTATTTCTATATAATTCAACATAATTATTTACATAGATTGTGAGGGGCCGAGGCTACATAGCATTATTAGCCCCCCTCTAGAAAGTTAAAAACATATAATAAATCACTGGAGTGTGTAGGATTGCAGACGGTCGTCCACCAGGTCTTGCCCATGATGATGTATATGAGTGTTAATGAGAGATGATGTGAAATGAGGAGGATGGTCATTCTAAGATGTTATCGATATAATTTGAAAATAGTTGAAGGCATTTTGTATTCAGTTCACTATTTAAATTTTCATCTCCATAAAGTATAAATTCTATTTTTTGCTTTCTGGTTTTTCCAAAATAGCACATAATATCAAGATTATCTAACTTTAGGATGTTCTGTATGTAATCATTTCTATGTATGGCGATTAGAGGGCAGTCGAGTAAAAGATGAATCTTATCTTGATCTCGGTGGCCACAGGGACAAGAAGGATTTATGATGTTCTTGAAATTATGTCTAAAAAGTCACTTTTATGGGCAATGTCGCTTCTTATTTTATTAAGTTTAGTTTCAGAAGACCTTTTCAAATTAAGATTTTGTGCTAAAATATTCTTTTTATGAAATGTATATTTCTTATTATAGTTTTTCTTGAAGATCGCTAGGGTTGGCGATGTTTTTATTTCAGTTGAAAGATTTTTCCAAAAGGAGGTGGGCTTTATGGCTGGTGAATTTAGGTATTTTACAGACGCTCTCACGGGTAAAACATATTCTCTTCTGGAGCGGAGCTCCCTTTCGGCACCAGGCATCTAAATAACAACATTTTTACTTCAAGTTGACAAAACCATATTCTCATTTATCTGTATTGCTTTGCGTTTAAGTTATAGTGAACATTTCATTCAATCATGGATCATGATGTTTAGTGTAGAAGTCATTTTAGACATTTTTGTAGCTAAGATATTGATTTGAAGTCTCGAACGCTGATAAACTTAGTAAATAGCCCAGTTTGCACCCCATGCAGACAGATCGTCTAAAATTACATTCGTATGATGTGAGACTCGACATTCACCAGGAAAGTAGAAACATTTTGTCACCCTTGATGCAAATTAATTTTTACTGCTTAATAAATGATGAATGACAGTCATATTAATTTCTATAAGTATGAGAATAGCATGCCGTCTTGATATTTCAAGGTAACTCGTTCGAAAAACGATTACGTTGATTGAAATGACGATGTAAAGATAAAACCGCAACGAAATATTTGTAGATTTCTTTGAAAAACTAAGAAATATACATCTCAAATTGAATTTTTCAAGACAGAAAAAACATGTATAAATAGTAAGGCATGTGGGTCCGATTCCCCCTGGTAGTATTAACATTAGTCTCGTATAATTCATACAATTAATATTCGAAACCCAACTATTATTCAAACTTATGATCGGACAAAAATTGATTTTTTTTTTAAAGATTTTATTTCATTACAAGATATAACATTATACATCCCTTCAATCGCCCAATGGCATTATAGAAGGGTACAGTAAGATTATACAAATACAATATGAATAAGGTCAATGGGGTTTATACTGCACTTGAGGTTGACCATGGGGTGGACTTATCTCTGTGGACAAAATTATTTAAAGTACTGTTAAGGAGGGGAAAGAGCTCATAGGTTTGTTTCAATGAATTCAGCAATTAGGGTTTGGAGTTTTGAATTTAAATCAAGGGAAAAATTTTCAGAACCATGTTTCATTAAGTAAAACAGATCATTCTAAGTTGAGTGTTCGTCTGAAGAATCAGTTGTATCCATAATATCAGTTTTTAATTTGGTTATACTTCTTTTGATGAGAGGACATTGAAATAAAAGGTGTTTTTCTGTCTGAGGAGCTCCACAATTACAATTTGGATTATCAATATATGTAAAATTATGTGCATAAAGTTGGGCTTTAAAAAGAAGATCGGCTCTAAATCTGTTAATTAGAATTTCATGAGATCTTTTCAGATTGAGTTTGGAAGTGCTAATAAAACTTTCTTGATTTTTAAACAAGATCTTTTGGTGTTTTTTAAAGGATTGAAAAGTTTCCATATTACGTAATCTTTTAGGTAATTGTGACCAGTTTGATATTGCAGATGGTACTGATGAAATTAAAAACCTCTCTGAGCACCTGGCGGGTAAAATAAAGTCAAATCTATCGCGCAAATTTCGTGTTCCAAGATTTTTGAACTTCTCAAAGATTTCATCTAGAAAGGGTGGATTTGGCCCATTAACTACATTGAACATGAAGTTATTGATTTGCATTCTTCTTGTTTCTAAGGAAGGCCATTGAAGGAGATTTAAAACCTTATCAGTATTACTGCCATGAAGACAACCAGAGCACACAAGAGAAGCCTGATAGTAGATTTTATCAAGTCTATTGAGAAGATTTTTTGACGCATTATTAAAAAGAGCAGTTCCATAGTCAAAATGAGGTCTTATAAAGGAATTAAAAAGCGTTTCAAGATCTCTAGAGTTTAACTTTGTTTTAAGATTTTTCAAGGGATTTATCATTTTTCTAACTTTATTGTATATTTCCTCAATGTGATTTTGATTCGTTAGATTATGATCAAAAGTATATCCAAGGTGTTTATGTACATTTGTTCTTTCAATTTCAGAGTCACTAAGGTAGGATTTGCTTACATTTTGAGGATTAGTTCTAATTCCAGAGAAAATAACTCCACAGCTCTTTTCTGGTTTAAATTGTAGCTTCCACAATTTGGACCAATTTTCTATCTCAGATAAATCAGATTTTACTAATTCATAAATTTCTTTGGGGCTTTTTGGGGTCAAAAATAAAGTGAAGAGATGTGTCATCTGCATAGATGTAGCATTTTGAATTTACATTATCTGGGAGATCGTTGATATATAAAATAAATAGAAGTGGACCAAAAATTGATCCCTGTGGTACACCACAGTTTAGGAAGCCTGCTTCAGTTGTAACTGATGACTCACCAGAAATGTTTACAAAAAATCGTCTATTTGTCAGATATGAATTTAATAAGTTTAGAAGTTGGCCATGAATAGCATAGGCTCTTAGTTTGTGAAGAAGTAAGTTATGCGGAACACGGTCAAAAGCAGCCGCAATATCAAGAAAAATCGTTTTACAGGCTTTGCCTTGGTCAAAATTTGTAAGTAAGAAATGTTCAATTGTCATTAGTTGAGAATGGGTGCTATGGCCTGGTAAAAAACCATACTGATACTTGAACAAAAGATTATTTGAAATTAAGTGTTTTTTAATTCGGTCGGCTATAATTTTCTCAAATAGTTTTGGTAAAGTATTTAGTAGTGTAATTGGTCTGTTATTGCTGATCTTTGATTTATCATGTTTTTTCAAAATAGGACAGACACTGCCAATTTTCCAAGTATCGGGGAAAATATTCTTGGCCATGAGTTTGTTGAAAATTTCCGAAAGTGGTTTTGAAAGGGAATGTGCAGTCAAATTTAACATTTTATTTGTTATTTCATCTGGACCACCGGCTTTGGAGGGATCAAGAGTCAAAATTAGTTTCATAACTTCAAACTGATCAGTTTTAGCTGAAATCAGCAGTGAGTTTGTTCTCATTCGAAAATGTGGCAAATTTTGATTGTCATTTTCATCTAGATGATTCTTATTTGCAAAAAGTCAGAAATGAGTTAGCTTTATCTATGTTTCTAGTGAGGGGTTGATTTGAATTTTCATCTATAATTGATGGGATATCTGATTTCGTATGCTTGTTACCAAGAAAAGATTTGATTATTTTCCAATAATTTTTATCATTTTTGCTCAAAGTGCTCATTGATTCCAGAGTATTTATTTCAATTTTGATTCTTAGCTTCTTTTATTAAAATAGATAAGTGTAATGCTTGTTGATCATATTTTATTCTATTATCATCACTTGGATTTTTTTATCATTTGGTTGTAGTATTGTTTTTTCTTTTTAATTAACTTAAGTTTGTCGTTAAACCAGGGTTGATCATTTGCCCTAATGATAATTATTTTGTTTGGAATATGAGTTTTGTATATATTTGTTAATTTATGGACAAAATCTTCTGTAATTTTATTCATGTCAATTCCATTATTAATTATTTGATTCCAATTTTCATTTCTTATTGCATTATTTAGGTTTTCAAGATTGGTTTCTTTATATTTCCAAACGGTTTTTCTAATTGGTTTTTTCTTTTGAACTTTAAGATTAATTTGAGTTATAATGGTACTGTGATCAGTCCTTCCAATAGGGTCGGTTATTGTCCAGGATTTAAAAATATCAGGTGATTCTGTAATAATGTGATCAATACATGACTTAGAATGACTTGTAATTCTTGTAGGTTTGTTAATTAATTGTACATAGTTAAAGTCATCAATACATTCTAGAAGTTTCACTCCAGCTAAATTGCTATCATTATTATCATACCAAGTAGAATTTTTTGCATTTAAGTCACACATGATCATAACATGATCGAAATTTGGAACATCATTATTAATCTTTTGAAGCTGCCGCTTAAACAGAGAAAAGTATTCACGGGTTTCATTAGCATTCATACTTGGAGACCTGTAACAGGCACCAAATAAAATTTTCTTTTGATTTATCATTAATTCAGCAAAGAGAAAATCTAAGCCGTTAATGTAAAAATCTGAATCAATTGACTTAAAAGCAATCTGATCATGTATATAAATAAAAAGACCTCTTCCTAACTCGGAGTATAGAGTCCGATAATTTTGTATGTCAAATTCCCATTAATAATGACATCTTTTGATGGAGTTCCAGCCTCACAGAGACCGATAACTGAGGGATTTACTTCATTAACTCTAATTTTCAAAGATTCAAATCTTGCCCCACCATCTGCGGTAATACTGTTTATGTTGGAAAAAAGACAAGACATATGTACACTATCTGATCCTGGGTTAGGATGCACATCTCCAGATAGAACAAGAAAAAGTTGAACAACATTTGGAATGTAAATGAGACTATAAAGTCCAGGTAATAGTATGGTGCT